GTTTTCTCTAAGAGTCTTTTAGTTTTAGCTTTTACGTTTAAGACTGTTGACACATTTCAAATTAATTATTTTATATGGATGGTGTGAGATAGGAGTCCAGCTTAATTCTTTTGCTACTCACTTAAATTATAATGTGAAATCCCCTAATACAAAAACCCAATGCCTGTTATTTTCAAAATACTCTTATGATGGTATATGATTTTAAAATTTTCATAGCAATCATTCTCTATATTAAAACAGGCTACATGTGTATTTCCTTACTCTGGCTGACACAGCCCAGAAGCAATGATACTCCAGCAGCAGAAAACATACCTAGTACCCAGACTGGTTTCTCAGACCATTCTCCAAGAAAAAGGAACCAAGGTTCCCTGGAGAAATGGCTGATTCTAGTACTGGGGCAGGCAATTACAGGATGAGTCTGGAGCATCTTGTAGTACCAGAAAGTAAGAAAGTGCTAAAAAGAAAGGGGGCAGGGAGGAAGGGGAAAAAAAATAGAGAAATGACTTTTATGTCAAAGGAACACATAAGCTAATTCAGAGTTTCCAGTGACCAAAGCAGGAACATTTTGAGCAACAAAATAGTACTGGATTGTAACCCAATGTATAAAATATATATCCATGGGTCCATACTGATAATTGAATGATTGAATAAGTAGAGAGGAAAAGACAAATCTCCCTTGAAGAATTCCTAATAATTTATGTAGATTCTCTACCCTGAAGGTGGGAGACCATAACTCCCCACTCAGGTGTGGACTGCACACAATGATGCCTTTCCAAAGAGTATAGTATTGAAACGGGAAAAAAGAGTAACTTTACAATGTAGAAACCTGACAAGTAAGTATCAAACAGGTGATAAGGGCCTATATCAGTAGCGATAAATCATGTTGATAGTTATGTACCACTGATATGATGTGATGAAAGTGACACTTTACCCCTGTGGTCTCCGTCCCCAAAACTGGTAACACCAGTCTAATCACAAAAAGAAAAAACATTAGTCGAATTCCAAAAGAGGGGCATCCTACAAAATACTCATCCAGTACTTCTGAAAATTGTGAAGGTCATCAAAAGCCAAGTAAAAGGAGGCTAAGGCAGGAGGATTGCTTGATACCAGACTGAGCAACACAGCAATACTTAGTCTCTAAAACACTTTAAAAATTTGCCAGGCATGGTGGTGCTTGCCTGTAGTCCCAGCTACACATTTCGGCCCAAGAGTTCATGGGTGATCATGCCAGTGAACTCTAGCCTGGATGGCAGCACAAGACTCTGTCTCTTAAAGAAAAACGACAACAAACAAACAAAAAAATCCAACAACAAAAACAACAAACTAAGTTGGAGAAACTCACAGACAAGAGGAGACAGAAAAAGACATTAAGTAAATCTATGGAAATCTGAATAAACCATAGGCTTTAGTTAATAATAATGTATTAATACTGGTTCAGGAGAACATCATTCTCAGCAAACTGACACAAGAACAGAAAATGAAACACTGCATATTCTCACTCATAGGCGGGTGATGAAAAATGAGAACACATGGACACAGAGAGGGGAGTACTAAAGACTGGGGTCTATTGGGGGGAAAAGGGGAGGGCCAGTGGGAGGGGGAGGTGGGGAGGGATAGCCTGGGGAGAAATGCCAAATGTGGGTGAAGGGGAGAAAGCAAACAAAACACACTGCCATGTGTGTACCTATGCAACTGTATTGCATGCTCTGCACATGTACCCCAAAACCTAAAATGCAATAAAAAAATAAAAATATATAAAAAAAAATACTGGTTCATTAACAAATGTCCCATACCAATGTAAGATGATAATAATACAGAAAACTAGGTGAGGGGGTGGATGGTAACTCTATACTACGTTCCTGATTTTTCTGTAAATCTAAAACAGTTCTCAAAAATTTAGTCTACAATTTTAAAAAATATAAGCCATGCTAAATCTAAACACAACTTTCTAAGAGTTAGAATAATTATTGACCTAATTTATAAATATCAGGGGTTTTCAGGGGGAAGAAGGTGTTCCTTATAAATCTTTGCTAACTCGAATCACTTTTTGAACAGGCAAGAAATTATCCTAACTAACTGGTTTCCTTGCCTCTGCTTCTGCCCCTCCTTCCCCTCATCCTCAGCCTGAGTTGTTCTCTAAAAAAGGTAAAGTCAAATCATGAAAAACTTTCCAGTGGCTTCCCACCTCACAAGTAAAAGCCATAACTTCTTACAAAGTTCTCAAGGCACTGCATGATCTAGTTGCTGCTCCCTTATACCTCTGACTTTAGCTCCTATTTTTTACTTCAGCCACATGGGTCTCTTGCCTCATCCCTCAAACTCACAAGGCTGGTTCACTTCCTTATTTCCCTTTAGGTCTCTGCTTAAATTTCACCTCACCTGTGCTGTTAAAGCTATTCTCTTTTATAATAAAAGGCCTTTTACTGTTTTTAACAGAAGTTCAAGTTCTCTCATGACATAATTTAGTTAGTATGGAAAGAGGGTCATAATCTAGTGTTAAGGGAAAAAAGCAAGTTGCTACATATTATATCCTTTACATCTTAAATAAACAAATAAAGAAGTGAGACAGCTGGGCATGGTGGCTCATGCCTGTAATCCCAGCACTTTGGGAGGGAGGCCAAGGTGGGTGGATTGCTTGAGGTCAAGAGTTTGAGACCAGCCTGACCAACATGGAGAAACCCCATCTCTCCTAAAAATACAAAATTAGCCAGGCATGATGGTGCAGCTACTCAGGAGGCTGAGGCAGGAGAATTGCTTGAACCTAGGAAGCGGAGGTTGTGGTGAGATGAGATTGCGCCATTGCACTCCAGCCTGGGCAACAAGAGCAAAACTCCATCTCAAAAAAAAAAAAAAAAATCATATTCATCCAACCTTAGTGATGATTGGTAATTTTTCATGAACTGCATAACACTATCAAACATGAAGGTGGTTTCTAGATAAGCCTTGCTGACATGCATGTATTCAATCTCTTACGGTTGGCCCATCTCCATATACCATATAATAATGTTTCTAAAAAATCTGTATGCTTTATGGTTTTAAAATCAATTTCAGAAGGTATTAACCCTGATAATCTGATATTCACAGGTCTGTCAAGATTGTTTATTTTTTAAATGAAAGCCAGGATTTGTTTTTTATAATCCTAAATGGGAAAAGCATGCCTCAAAACATGGTCTTGATTTCTAATTCCTATGTTTGGAGCAGTATAGACTCTTCTTTTAATATATGTACATTTACATAAGATAGGACCTACTGTGTGTGGCCTGGCATAGCCCTTCTTAATCCCCAAACCCTGGACAGGCGGGGTAGGGAAAGAAATAAGGAACTTTTACCATCACCCTACATACTCCAAGTACTACCTCAGCTAAATCCTAGAGACAAATGAACCAAATCTCAATCTTCATGTTCCCAGCCTAGCATAAAACAAATCTTCCATCTCCTCCCCACACACTGTTGAGTAAGGTATGAAACTGAGGACAAGGAGGGTTAGAATTTTGGAAAGGGAAGTATCTTTTTTCAGCCACTAATAATTTCCTCAAAAAAACAAAACAGCCAGCTGTAGTGGCTCACACCTATAACCCCAGCACTTTGGGAGGCCAAGACTGCAGGATTGTTTGAGGCCAGGAATTCAAGATCAGCCTGGGGGCAACATAATGAGACCCCATCTCTACAAAAAATAATTCACTGGGCATAGTGGTACCTGTGGTCCCAGCTATTCAGGGCGCTAAGGTAGGAGGATCGCCTGAGCCCAGCAGGTCAAGGCTGCAGTGAGCCATGATCAGGCCACTGCACTTCAGCTTGGGCAAAAGAGCAAGATTATCTCAAAATCGAAACAAAAAAAATTTAAAACAAACCAACAAAGATTAGTTATTTGGTTACCACTCTACACTGTTTAAGTGTGACCGTTTTTTTAGTCAACTTCACTAAAACAAATAAAATTAATTTCTAAAGCAGATATAGCTGAGGCAAAAAATCATCTAAAATGTCCACTCATGCAGTGAAGATGGTATAAGTTTGTAAGATAAAATACTTTTAAATATATTATTGAGACTATGCTTTTATGATTTATATGCAGATATTAATAACATATAAACCTACTCTTTGGATAGCCTACTTTTATGTCTATGATGCTTAAGAAATAAAACACATTTCAGGTTTAAAAATCAATTAGCAAAAGTTTCATGAAATATGTTAAATCTGAGAAAACAAGCCAGTACTTGCACACAAGTAATAAGTTACTTAAGCACTGAATAAATGATTTCGCCTTAAGTAGTCATATAGCTTTGTTCTTTTTGTATTGAATAATTTGGCCACTAATACCTAGAATATAATAAAAGTAGAATTCTCTTTAAGCTTTGAAAATATTGTTTTAGATATATCAACTTTTCATAGTTTAGAAAAATAAACACTCTGGATTTGAAGTTAGGAACCACAAATTCCAGTCCTGATTCTGCAAATAAATGCTACAAGACTTTGACCAATGTACATAATCTTGTAGAATACTCATTTTCCTACTTATAAAGCCTAATGTTCTTTGTAGTTCTAATATTCTCAGTTAAGATGAACATTTTTACTTCATTTAGCACACAGTATTCTTTGGTATAAAATCTGAACAGAAATAAACACTAAGTCCACTGAATTAACTCTGCGTGGAACTCTAGCATATACCTATCCCATTCATAACTAAATGCCAAATATTTTTAAATCTTTATTTTGTTTTAGCTAATCCACAGTTTGATAATTTAAAAGCAAAAACATATAGCCTAAGAATAATCAGCTCTTATTAAGAAATTATTTATCATGAATTTGAAAAAATAAACTAGGGAACTTTGAAACAACTGTGTAACAGCTGTACAAGGGCACAGGCTCCACAAACAGGCTACAGGATTCAAATACAGTTCTATATAAAGTCTGTGACTTACAGGAGCCACATAGACAATTAGTTAGACTTAACCAAGTCTCCATTTCCTCAATAGTAAAATATGGGTAACAGTAACACCTACCTTCATCACGTTGTTGTGGGAGTAAACAATAAAGCACAAATGGTCAGCAGCAATTAGCACAGTCCAGCACTTGGCGCATAATGAATGCTGAATCAATGCTGTTATTGTTGCACCTAAAGGTAAGGTCTACATTTATACAGCTGACATTTATTGACTACCAAGTGTCATGCTAGGGACTAGAGAAAACAAGTAAATAAATGTATACAATCTGGGAACACTTCCTCTAGGACATGACAACTGAGTATTGAAAAGGAGAAATTATCCAAAGAAGGAAAAAAGAAAAGAAGATAAAATTCCATATACAAAGACCTAGAAATATCCCCAAGATGGCACATTAGAACTGTATGTAGTAATTCAGCATGATTATATCAGAGAATAGGAATATGAAGCAGACAGGAAACAAACTATGGAATATTATATGCCAAATAAGGATCTCACATTATATCTTCAAGGGAATCACCAGCCTCTCAAGAATTTTAGTTACAGTTAAATTTATACTTTTTTGAGACAGGGTCTTGCTCTGTTGCCCAGGCTAGAGTGCAGTGGTGTGATCATAGCTCACTCTAGGCATGACCTTCCAGGCTCAAGCAATCCTCCCCCTTCAGCCTCCTCAGTAGCTGGAATCACAGACATGCGACACCATACCTGGCCACTTTAAAAAATATCTTTTTATAGAGACAGGGTGTCTCCCTATGTTGCCCAGGCTGATCTTGAACTCCTGGGATCAAGCAATTCTTCCATCTTTGCCTCCTAATGTGCAGGGATTACAGGTGTGGGCCACCTGACCTGGTCTAAAGAATGGTTTGTAACCAGGTGTCCTCATCAGCATCACCTGTTAGTTTTTTTCGAACTATATACATCCAGATTTCCCTTTCAGAAATTATTGATGAGTAGTTCTGACATGTGACATGGGACCCTACAAGTTTACTCTGAAAAGTTCAAGAGAATTACTATCTTAGATAATCTGATAAATACTGTGTGGAACAGAGGAAACCTTAATTAAAGACAGAAGGCCAAGATTCTACGACAGAAATCCAGGTAAGAACTCATGAGGACAAAACAGTGGCAATAGTTAGATACTAAGAATTCTTTAAAAATACAATTGAGAAGACTTGTGGGGAACACAGAGAAATCGTGAATGATACTGAGACACCCACAAGGCTGAACAAATGCGGACAGTTTCAGTTTTGAAAGCACTGAGCTTGAAGTGTTCAAGAGACATATTGTGAGAAATAATAAAAAACGAGCTAATGAATATTCCTTCTTAGGACTCAGAAGAGAAATGTGAGCTGGAAATAAAAAATTGGGGATCATTACAAAATGAGTGTTTTTTCAAGTCGTGGAAATGAAAGAAAATGTCCAAGAGCAACTCACATCAGAAGTGGGCTGAGGAGAGATTATAGGGACACTGCTTTACACATATGACCAATAATACTAATTCCCATTTCTCAATGTTATTTATCTGGAACTCAAAATTCCTGCAACTCCACTGAAGAACCACTCTCCTCTCTTCCACTGAAGATATCACAGAAATATATGACTAATAATACTATTATAGGATGTATTAGTCCATTTTCACATTGCTATACAGAATGAACTGCAACTAGGTAATTTATAAAGAAAAGAAGTTTAATTGACTCACAGTTCAGCATGGCTGGAGAGGCCTCAGGAAACTTACAACCATGGCAGAAGGTGAAGGGGAAGCAAGGCATGTCTTCACAAGGTGGCAGGAGAGAGAACAGCATGGTGGAAACCACCCCTATGAGCCAGTCACCTTCCCTGAGGTCTCCCTTGACATATGGGGTTGCAATTTGAGATGAGATTTGGGTGGGGACACAGAGCCAAACCCTATCATTTGGGAGGGTCCCTCACCCCTCCCAAAGCTCATGTCCTTTTCACATTTCAAAACCAATCATGCCTTCCCAACAGTCCCCCAAAGTCTTAACTCATTGCAGCATTAACTCAAAAGTCCAAGTCCAAAGTCTCATCTGAGACAAGGTTAAGTCCCTTCCACCTATGAGCCTGTAAAATCAAAGCAAGTTAGTTGCTTCCAAGATACAATGGGGGTACAGGCATTGGGTAAATGCTTCCATTCCAAATAGGAGAAATGCACCAAAACAAAGGTGCCAGGGCCCCCATGCAGTTCTGAAACCCAGTCATTAAATTTTAAAGCTAAAAAATTTCCTTTGTCTCGATGTCTCACATCCAGGGCACACTGATGCAAGGGGTGGGGAGGCTCCCACAGCCTTGGGCAGCTTCTCCCCTGTGGCTCTGCAGGGTATAGCCGCTGCAGCTTTCATGGGTTGGCATTGAGTGTCTGTGGCTTTTCCAAGTGTGTGTTGCAAGCTTTCAGTGGATCTACCTTTCTGGGGTCTAGAGGACTGTGGCCCTCTTCTCGCAGTATCCCAGTGGGAAGTCTGTGTTGGGGCTCCAACCCTACATTTCTCTTCTGCACTACCCTAGCAGAGGTTCTCACCATGAGGGTTCTGCCCCTGCAACAGACTTCTGCCTGGACATCCAGGCATTTCCATACATCCTCTGAAATCTAGGTGGAGGTTCCCAAACATAACTCTTATCTTCTGCATACCTGCACACCCAACAACACGTAGAAGCTGCCAATGCTTGGGCTTGCACCCTCTGAAGCAATGACCCGAGCTGTACCTTGGCTTCTTTTAGCCATGGCTGGAGCTGAAGCAGCTGGGACACAGAGTACCCTGTCCTGAGGCTGCATAGAGCAGCAGACAGGGCCTATGAAACCATTTTTCCCTCCTAGGCCTCCAGGCTTGTGATCAGAGGGGCACTGTGAAGATCTCTGAAATGCCCTGGAGACATTTTCCTCATTGTCTTGGCTATTAACATTCACCACCTCATTACTCATACAAATTTGTGTAGCTGGGTTGAATTTCTCCCTAGAAAATGAGTTTTTCTTTTCTACCACATAGGCTGCAAATTTTCCAAACTTTATGCTCTGCTTCCCTTCTAAATAAAAGTTCCAATTTCAGAAAATCTCTTTGTGAATGCAATGACTAAACACTTACAGGATCAGCCAGGTCACATCTTGAATGTTTTGCTGCTTAGAAATTTCTTCTGCCAGATACCCAAATCATTTATCTCAAGTTTAAAGTTCTACAGATCTCTAGGGCAGGCCAAAATGCTGCCAGTCTCTTTGCTAAAGTATATAGTGACCTTTGCTCCAGTTCCCAATAAGTTCCTCATCTCCATCTGAGACCACCTCAGCCTGAACTTCATTGTCCATATCACTATCGGCATTTCAGTCAAAAGCATTCAACAAATCTCTAGGAAGTTCCAAACTTTCCCACATCTTCCTGTCTTCTTCTGAGCCCTCCAAACTGTTCCAGCATCTGCCCATTACCCAGTTCCAAAGTCACTTCCACATTTTCAAGTTATCTTTATAGCACTGCCCTACTCCCAGTATCAATTGTCTATATTAGTGTATCTTCATACTGCTATAAAGAATGACCTGAGACTGGGTAACTTGTAAAGGAAAGAAGTTTGTTTTTTTTTTTTTGAGACGGAGTTTCGTTCTTGTTATCCAGGCTGGAGTGCAATGGCGTGATCTCGGCTCACTGCAGCCTCCGCCTCCTGAGTTCAGGCAATTCTCCTGCCTCAGCCTCCTGAGTAGCTGGGATTACAGGCACGCGCCACCATGCCCAGCTAATTTTTTGTATTTTTAGTAGAGACGGGGGTTTCACCATGTTGACCAGGATGGTCTCGATCTCTTGACCTCATGATCCACCCGCCTCGGCCTCCCATAGTGCTGGGATTACAGGCTTGAGCCACTGAGCCCGGCCAGGAAAGAAGTTTAATTGACTCAAGCCCAAGCATTGGTGGCTTCCATGTGTTGCTGGGCCTCTCAGCATGGCTGAAGAGGCCTCAGGGAACTTACAACATGGCAGAAAAGGAAGGGAAAGCATGTCTTCAAAAGGTAGCAGCAGATAAAGAGCAAGCACAGGGGAAACTGCCACTTTTAAACCATTAGATCTCAGGAGAACTCTCTCACTACTATGAGAACAGCATGGGGAACCCTGCCCCAATGAGCCAATCACCTCCCACCAGGTCCCTTCCTCAACACATGGGGATTACCATTTGAGATGAGATTTGGGTGGGGACACAGAGACAAATCATATCATAGGGATCAACTCTATCTTATTTAAAGACAATGAGTAATCATTCATAACTTGGTACTTTTTAATTTATTTCTAAAAACACAGGATACACGTGCAGAACATACAGGTTTGTTACATAGGTATACATATGCCATGGTAGTTTGCTGCACCTATTGACCCATTCTCTAAGTTCCCTCCCCTCGCTCACCACCCCCCAACAGACCCTGGTGTGTGTTGTTCCTCTCTCTGTGTCCATGTCATAAAATCAATTACCTGAGATGCAGATTTAAGGGACGGGTAGAGGAAGGGGAAACCACAAGGGAGAATGAGAAAGTTTAACTAAAAACTTGAGAGAAAAAAATAGGACTGTCTCCAAAAATCAAAGAAATAAGTTTCAAGAAAGAAGGACTAACTGCTGCAGTTAGACAGCTAGAGAAACTGTTTGAGGAAACAGTAATAATAAATGAAGCATAGCTATAACACACATACTACATATACATTACTTATACAAGTATTACATTATACTATCTCCTCCCACAACCCCTTGGGCTGGAAAGTTCTGTGGACCAGAAGGCTAAGACCAAAACAGAAAAAGCCAACTGGAACAAGAAAGTAGTTGTAAAAATGGCATGAAGGAGGCAGGAAAAGGCAGGGAACAGAAAAAATAAAGTGACTGTAAATAATTTATTGCTAGATCTAAAATGTCCATTTTGATTTTTACTCTATTTAGCTTTGATCTTAAAGCTTTTGTTTAAAAATTCTCATTATAGGGGCCGGGCGCGGTGGCTCAAGTCTGTAATCCTAGCACTTTGGGAGGCTGAGGTGGGTGGATCATGAGGTCAAGAAATCGAGACCATCCTGGTCAACATGGTGAAACCCTGTCCCTACTAAAAATACAAAAAATTAGCTGGGCATGGTGGCATGTGCCTGTAATCCCAGCTACTCAGGAGGCTAAGGCAGGAGAATTGCCTGAACCCAGGAGGCAGAGGTTGCGGTGAGCAGAGATCACGCCATTGCACTCCAGCCTGGGTAACAAGAGTGAAACTCTGTCTCAAAAAAAAAAAAATCTCATTATATTGGCATTGTAGCTGCAGAACATTTCTAACATCCATTTCAATTATTTTCAAGAGAAATTTTCAACTTAGGTCTGTATGTCTTTACTGAATATACACATGCAAAAGGTATGAGTGAAAAGCATACACATAACAAATTTCCTGCCATCATGACCTATGTAACTATGGGAGATTAAACAGCATACAAGTGTCTAGCCAATTCTACAAAACAGAATAAAACAAAAATATAGCAGAGCAGGGACAATTAATTTATCCAACAAACAGATGTTATGTATTAGGCAATGAGTAAGGCACTGGGGACACAAGACATGACAGGATAAGTTTTCAAAGAGCTTGCAGTTTAGTTGTGAGACAGGGTGCTAAAAGGAAACCAACTAAGAAAATAGTTATGAGCTCTGTCAAATGAATAAAGAAGGAGAAAATCTAAATATAGAGATTACGGGAGAAGGAGGACACAGTGATCAGCAAATGCCTCCCAGAATAAGGGATCTTAAGCAAGCCCTGCCCCAAACCAAAGGAAAAGAAAGAACAGTTAGGAAAAGGCCTAAAGTGGGAAGAGTCTGGAACACAGAGAAGCTAAAAGAAGACCAACATATTGTGAGTGTACTAAAGGAAGAGAGTGAGCAGGAGGAGATCCGTGGAAAGGTAGTAGTTAAGAGTTGGACATGGAAAGCCTTCTGGGCACAATGAGTCTCGATTTCATTTCAATTGCAATGGAAAACCAATGGATTTTTAAGAATGGGAGTGTCTAAATTACATTTTTTAAACGTAGCTACCTGCTACACAACTTAGTTTCCAAACTACAATCGACACCAAGGGAATTCTAAAATCAAAATACACCTTATAATGTCATGACCACACTTCATCCCCCAATATACACATGACTACCCAAGTAGCTCCAAGTTTCAAGAGAAATTGCTTTTTTTTTTTTTTTTTGAGATGGAGTTTCGCTCTTGGTACCCAGGCTGGAGTGCAATGGCGCGATCTCAGCTCACTGCAAACTCCGCCTCCCGGGTTCATGCAGTTCTTCTGCCTCAGCCTCCCCAGTAGCGGGGATTACAGGCACGCACCACCATGCCCAGCTAATTTTTTGTATTTTCAGTAGAGACGGGGTTTCACCATGTTGACCAGGATGGTCTCGATCTCTTGACCTCGTGATCCACCCACCTCGGCCTCCCAAAGTGCTGGGATTACAGGCTTGAGCCACTGTGCCTGGCCGAGAAATTGCTTTTAAAATAAATGTTAAAGGATCTAGAATTTAGGCCAGGAGCTGTGGCTCACCCCTGTAATCCCAGCACTTTGGGAGGCTGAGGGAGGTGGATCACCTGAGGTCAGGAGTTCGAGACCAGCCTGACCAACGTGGCAAAACCCTGTCTCTACTAAAAATACAAAAAAATTAGCCAGGCATGATGATATGCACCTGTAGTCCCAGCTACTTGGGAGGCTGACACAGGAGAATCTCTTGAACCTGGCAGGCAGAGGTTGCAGTGAGCCAAGATTGTGCCATGTGGGCAACAATAAACTCTGTCTCAAGAAAAAAAATATAGCTAGAGTATAATGAACTTGGGTATCAACTGCTGCATAATATCACACTGTCTTTTAGTTTTAAAAAAAATCAGTGAAAATATCAAATGGATAAAGCTGTTATTGATAATGGATACTTCCCTTCCTTGAACCCAATTTTGCAGAAAACAGTGGTAGAAGAGACAGATGAGTCAAATACAGTAAACTTTTCAAGAAATGAATGAGCAATAATAAAAAAGACAATCACAAGTGTAGAACAGACATGGGGAAACTGGAGCATCCATATATTTCTTTTTATTTTTTGAGACATGGCTCTGCTGCCCATGCTGGAATACAGTGGCACAATCTCAGCTCTCTTTAACCTCTGTCTCCTGGGTTCAAGTGATTCCCCTGCCTCAGCCTCCCCAGTAGTTGAAACTATAGGTGTGTGCCACCACGCCTAGCTAATTTTTGTATTTTTAGTAGAGATGAGGTTTCGCTTTGTTGGCCTGGTGAGTCTTGAACTTCTGACCTCACGTGATCTGCCGGCCTTGGACTCCCAAAGTGCTGGGATTACAGGCATGAGCCACCACGCCTGACCCATATACTTCTGATGGCAATATAAAAATGGTACCGCCACTTTAGGAGAGAGAGATTGGGCAATTCCTCAAAATGTTAAACACAAATTTGCAACAATTCCACTCCCAGGTATCTACCCAGGAAACATGTTCATACAAAGTCTTACACGCAAATGTCCATAGCAGCATTCAAAAGTGAAAACAACCCAAATGTCCGTCAAAAGAGTTCGGATAAACAAAATGTGCTGTGTCTTTACAATGAAATATTATTCAGCTACATACATCATTAATGATCTTTACCAAAAAGTCCCATTTTATTTTGTACAAATGATACACTCAAGTTGGTTAAACAGAAGACGTTTCTGTTTTTACTAAGCAAGGTAAAATGAGTAGTATGGAATTTCCTATCTAGTGGGGTGACAGAGTATATTAAAAAAACAGTATCAGTTCCACACAGTATTAACAACAAAAAGAGACAGATGTTGGCATTTGTAACAGATGCCCAAGAAAAACACTGCCAAAGTCAAGACAGCTAAGAATTTCTGTCTGCTGTTTCACAGGGAAATAATGAAATGTGATGGTGATATGGCATATGCTTGGTTGCATCCACGATAACAACCACCACCAAGGCCTCGACTGGACAACTCCAAAATGCCACTTCATCATCTTCCTTTTCTATTTCTGTTATCATTTGCATTACCAATCTTTCTTCTCAACAAAGACAACATTTTCAGGTCCTAAGTGTTCCTCATTTCCAGTATTTTTTTTTTTAATGCTTTTCTTTTCTTTCTTTTTTTTTTTGAGATGGAGTTTCGCTCTTGTTACCCAGGCTGGAGTGCAATGGCGCCATCTCGGCTCACCGCAACCTCCGCCTCCTGGGTTCAGGCAATTCTCCTGCCTCAGCCTCCTGAGTAGCTGGGATTACAGACACGCGCCACCATGCCCAGCTAATTTTTTGTATTTTTAGTAGAGACGGGGTTTCACGATGTTGACCAGGATGGTCTCGATCTGTTGACCTCGTGATCCACCCGCCTCAGCCTCCCAAAGTGCTGGGATTACAGGCTTGAGCCACCGCGCCCGGCCAATACTTTTCTTTTCTTTTGAGAAAGTATCTCATTCTGTTGCCCAGGTAGAGTGGTAATCATGGCTCACTGCAGCCTTGACTTCCTGGGCTCAAGTGATTCTCCTGCCTCAGCCATCTGAGTACCTGGGACTCCAGGTACGTGCCACCATGTTCAGCTAATTACGTATTGTTTTTGAGAGATGTACATCTCCCTATGTTGCTCAAGCTGGTCTCAAACCCCTGGGTTCAACAGATCTGTGCCTGCCTTGGCCTCTCAAAGTGCTGGGACTAGAAGCGTGGGCCACCATGCACAGTCTATGCTGTTCTTTTAAAAGAAAGACAGGGCCAGGCATGGTGGCTAATGCCTGTAATCCCAGCACTTTGCGAGGCCAAGGCAGGCAGATCACGAGGTCAAGAGATCGAGATCATCCTGGCCAACATGGTGAAGCCCCATCTCTATTAAAAATACAAAAATTAGCTAGGTGTGGTGGTGCATGCCTGTAATACCAGCTATTCGGGAGGCGGAGGCAGGAGAATCACTTGAACCCAGGGGGCAGAGGCTGCAGTGAGCCAAGACTGAACCATTGCACTCCAGCCCAGGTGACAGAGTGAGACTCTGCCTAAAAAAAAAAAAAAAAAAAAAAAAAAAAGAGGAGAAATACATCCATCAAAGCAAATTATTTTATGTTTTCATGTACTAACCACCTGTAAAGACCAGCTTGTTTATTTAAGAGAGAGACAAAAGTGGTTATATGGGTCCTAGATGGTTTCTCTTATTTTGGCTACAAAGGAATTACTTAAAATGAACTAATATATAGCTGGTTACTTTTCAACACAAAACAGTTCATATTTCCATGATTCAAATGTATGGGTCCTATAAAAAATTTTTTTCGGCTTTTTCAATGTATCTTTTTGTTTGTGGCTTAGTCTTTCATTTAAATTTTCTCCCTTGTTTGAGAAACTTGTAGAGCCAGTTTTTCATGACATCACAATTTTATGTATTATTATTAACACAGTCTATGATTTCTGGCATTAGATCAAGGAAATCTGTCTAAAAATACATTTATCACAATTCACATGTGGATATGAACTAGATTTACAGACAAACATTTATACATCTTTGGTTTCATACAAGAATTTAATAACATTTTAGGGAAGAAAAGAAGATTTTCAGATGAACCAAAATCCAAAATTGTACAATTCATTTTCTACTCAATGTGCTGTTCTTTCCTTACAAATTTTTAGAAAAGTAATATGAAATTATCTAGAAGCTTAAAAAGTTTAATGCTTCTGTTTTCTTAAGGAAATTTCCACGAATTTGTAAAAAAAAAAAAAAAAAATTAGCCAAACTTTTAATAAAACCAGTAGTGTTTTATCCTGTTGTAACTGTACTATACTACTTATTTTAATTGTACTATACTATTAGAAGACTGACTTCAGGTACTAAAACTGGTAAAATATTTATAGATTGCCTTAAAACATCCTACCTATTGTAGTTATGTCAAAAAAAAAAGTAAGTATCTTTCAGAGTTCTCTCTCATACTATGGTTGAAGGGGATACATAACCAGAAATTTGCTTTGAAATGATACATGGGAGTAGGGACAGAAAGTATGTAGGGATATATATGAAAGAGGAACGACCATGTGCTAAAATTGTTGAAGCTGGGTAATGGATACACAGGGGTTCATTATACCTTTCTCTAAATTTGTTTGGTTTGAAATTTTCTATAAAAGTGTTGTTGTTGGCTGGATGTGGTGGCTCATGTTGAAAATCCCAGCACTTTGGGAGAGTCAGGCAGGAGGATCACTTGAAGCCAGAAGTTTGAGACCACCCTGGGAAAATAGCAAGACCCCATCTCTACAATAAACAAAAACAAAAATAAACCCCAATTTAGGCAGGCATGGTAATACATGCCTGTAGTCCTAGCTACTTGGGAGGCTGAGATAGGAGGATTGCTTGAGCCCAGGAGTTTGAGGTTACAGTGAGCCACTGCACTCTAGCCTGGATGACAGAGTAAGACCCTGTCTTTAAAAAAAATTTCTTTTTCTATGAGATGAAGTTTTGCTCTTGTTGCCCTGGCTGGAGTGCAACAGCGCAGTCTTGGCTCACTGTAACCTCCACCTCCCAGGTTCAAGCAATTCTCCTGCCTCAGCCTCCCAAGTAGCTGGGACTACAGGCATGCGCGAACACACCTGGCTAATTATGTATTTTTAGTAGAGATGGGGTTTCACCATGTTGGTCAGGCTGGGTCTTGAACTCCTGACCTGAGGTGATCCACCCACCTCAGCCTCTCAAAGTGCTGGGGGATTACAGGCGTGAGGCACCACACCCAGCCCCAATTTTTTTAACTTAAAAAAAAAATCGCCTGTAATCCCAAGCACTTTGGGAGACCGAGGCGGGTGAATCACGAGGTCAAGAGATCGAGACCATCCTGGTCAACATGGTGAAACCCCATCTCTACTAAAAATACAAAAAATTAGCTGGGCATGGTAGCGCGTGCCTGTAATCCCAGCTACTCAGGAGGCTGAGGCAGGAGAACTGCCTGAACCCAGGAGGTGGAGGTTGCAGTGAGCCGAGATCGCGCCATTGCACTCCAGTCTGGGTAACAAGAGCGAAACTCTGTCTCAAAAAAAAAAAAAAATCTAAAAAATTCTTCTTTATAATAGAGAAAATCAACTTTAGGGTGGCTAATTCTTGTTCTGCATTATTATTAATTCACAACAAGGGTTAATGTAAAGAAAGAAACTAATGAATTTCAGGAGTACATATTTTGAAACAAGTTACACACTAAAAAAGATTTTATGACATATTAATATCAAAACACACAAGTTTACTATCTGTTAAGTGCCAACAGCAAACATACTGTGAAGTATGCTTGATATATATGGGGACGATGCTAACATGACCTTAAAAGGTAGCACAGTAGATCAAAGTTAATTAGCTGGTATACTAGATTAGCTTTTAAAAGCAAGTTTGGAATCTTCAACTCCTATGCCTTACTGAAACACAAGTTATCAGTCTTAGAAACAATTCTAATCATTACCATACTAGAGGATCAGAT